TATTAACAAACTGAATTCAAAAATACATTAAAAAGATCCATCATGACAAAGAGGAATTTATCAAAGGGATGCAAGGAGGCTACAATATTTGTAAATCAATCAATATCATACACCACATTAACAAAAAAGGATAAAAACCACATGGTCACCTCAATAGATGCTGAAAAAGCATTTGACAAAATTCAACAACCATTCACAATAAAAGCTCTCAACAAAATGGGTATGGAGGGTACGCACCTCAACATAATAAAGGCCATGTATGACAAACCCATAGTCAACATCATACTTAATGGCAAAAAACTAAAAGCTTTTACTCTAAGATTGGGAACAAGACAAGGATGCCCACTCTCCCCACTTTTATTCAACATAGTACTGGAGGTCCTAGCCATGGTAATCAGACAACACAAAGAAATAAAAGGCATCCAGATCAGCAAGGAACAAGTTAAACTGTCACTGTTTGCAGACAAGATGATATTGTACATAAAAAGCCCTAAAGAATCCACTCCAAAACTACTAGAACTAATATCTGAATTCAGCAAAGTTGCAGGATACAAAATTAATACAAAGAAATCTGTTTCATTCCTATATACTAACAAATTAGCAGAAAGAGAAATCAGGAAAACAACTTCATTTACAATTGCAATTAAAAACAGTAAAATACCTAGGAATAAACCTATTCAAGGAGGTGAAAGACCTATACTCTGAAAACTACAAGACATTCATGAGAGAAATTAATGAAGACACCAATAAATGGAAATATATCCTGTGTTTATGGATAGGAAGAATTAATATTGTCAAAATGTTCATCCTGCCACAAGCAATCTATGGATTCAATACAATCCTTATCAAAATACCAACAGCATTCTTCATAGTTTTAAAATTCATATGGAACCACAAAATACCCCAAATAGCCAAAGCAAGACTGAGAAAGAAGAACAAAGCTGGGGGGATTACACGCCCTGACTTCAAGCTCTACTACAAAGCTACAATAATCAAAGCAATTTGGTATTTGCACAAGAACAGACCCATAGATCAATGGAACAGAATAGAGAGCCCAGATGTAAACATACACATATATGATCAATTAATATATGACAAAGAAACCATTAATATACAATGGGGAAAAGACAGCCTCTTCAACAACTGGTGCTGGGAAAACTAGACAACTACACATAAGAGAATGAAACTGGACTGTTGTCTAACCCCATACACAAAAGTAAACTCAAAATGGATCAAAGACCTGAATGCAAGTCATGAAACCATAAAACTCTTAGAAGAAAACATAGCCAAAAATCTCTTGAATATATTCATGAGCAAGTTTTTCCTGGACACATCTCAGGCAAGGGAAACAAAATCAACAGTGAACAAGCAGGACTACATCAAACTAAAAAGCTCTGTATAGCAAAGGACACTGTCAGCATATCAAAAAGGCATCCTAACATGGGAGAATATATTTATAAATGACTCATTTGATATGGGTTTAACATTTAAAATATATAAAGAACTCATAGACCTCAACACCCAAAAAACAAATGACCTTATCAAAAAATGGGCAAAGAACTTCAACAGACACTTTTCCAAAGAAGAAATACAAATGGCCAACAAGCACATGAAAAGATGCCTCACATCACTAATCATCAGGAAATGCAAATTAAAACCACAATAACATCACCTCACACCAGTTAGATTGACCACTATCCAAAAGACAAGAAACAATGTTGACAAAGATACAAAGAAACAGGAACCCTCCTACAGGGCCCGTGGGACTGCAAATTGGTACAACTGCTGTGGAAAGCAGTATGGAGGTTCCTCAAAAAACTAAAAATAGACATACCATTTGACCCAGTGATTTCACTCCTAGCAATTTACCCCAAGAAACCAAAATCCCTGATTTGAAAAGATATATGCACCCCTCTGTTGATTGCCACACTGCATGCAACAGCTAATATACGGAAGCAACCTAAGTGACCATCAATAGTTGAATGGATAAAGAAGATGTGGTACATATACACAATGAAATATTATTCAGCCATAAAAAAAAAAAGAAATCCCGCCATTTGCAATGACATGGATGAATCTAAAGGGCATTATGCTTAGTGAAATAAGCCAGGCAGAGAAAGACAAATACCATATGATTTCACTTATTTGTGAAATAAAAACAAAGCAAAACAGAAGGAACAAAACAGCCGTAGACTCAGACACCGAGAAGTGACTAGTGGTTACCAAGGGAGAGGGGGATAAAAGGGCACAATAATTTGCAATCACAATTTAAATTGATCACACTGACTGTTAAATCACTGTGATGTACATTTGAAACCAACATTAGATTGTATATTAAGAATACTTTAATAAATAAATCAATAAAACATTTCTCTAGTACCATTTGAACTACCATGACATGAGGATGACTTTACTAGGAGATTTCCATACCTTTGCGAAGAGATTATTTCTTACAGAAACTCTGCAAATCAGGTATTATTACAACCAGTTTTTAGTTGAGGAATTACAGAAAGAATCAATAAACCACATGCTCAATGTTACCCAATTAAAATGCTGCCAAGGCAGGGTGTGAATGCAGGTCTATTTGTCTTCAAAACCTAAAAGCTGAATAAGTATATTTGTAAACAGATACTTTACAAATGAATTATCAATGAGGCCTTTATCCCCTAACATAACCAGGGCTGGCCTAGAACCCTGTTTGGGCACTATGGAGAGCAGAGAAATGAAGTATGCTGTTCAAATATCTTATGTTTGAGCTCTTTTGCTTGATCAAACCTTGTCTTGAGCAAAGATACGTAAGGCCTTTTTCTACTACTCCATTTATTTATGTAACATTTACACTGTTACTATTACACACAGTCACAGGTGATACAATAGCAAACAAAACACAATAATTCTGAAGCAACATGGGCATTATAATCACTTGAGAGAATTGTAAATAAAATATAACACAAAAGGTAGCAGTATATACTATATATAAAAATGCAGTATGTTGCACAGATATGAAGGTACACACACGTATTTACTATAGCAAATCAGGACTAGTTATGTGGTAGTGTAGAAGCAGAAAAGTAAAAGAACTGTTTCAGATAACACTAGAAACCCGCAGCTGGTGTGGTATATACATTTATATATTTATAAATACCATCAACTACCAGAGAAGAAAAAAATCAGTATCAATGGGCTAGTCATTGGCTTAAAGTTTGGAAAGAGAACAGCACGAAAGTTTAGAAAGAAAAATGAAAATAGGACAAAATCAACAATATTTTTAAAAATTAATAAAAAATCAGAAAAACTAACATGTCCTTTGAAACTAATGGAATCAACAAACCACCTTGGCAATTTTCTTTCAGAACAGAGCACAAAAATAGCTATAAGAATGAGTCATAGACTGAGACCCCCTGTCCTGTATTGTGAGCAGCATGGTCCACCAGAAAATCTAAAAAAAAAAACAAAAAAAGAATGAGTCATAGTGACAGATATTGGGGGGAGAACAAAAAAATTGAGGAAATAGATATGAAAATGTATGAATTTCTAGAAAAGTCCACCATTTCAGCAATGATCTACAGTAAATACAAAACCTGATTGCACCCAGGGATTAAAGAATGAAATCCTTAGTTTACAAATGGCCCACAAAGGAAACAGAAGTTACAAACTTTTTTACAGGCAAGGTCACCCAAATAATTAAGAGATTCATAATTCCAGAGGGGGAGTAGGCGGAGGGGCTGTTTTCGAGAGTATTTCCAAGACCAGAAAAGTACAGCTCAAAGAAAAAAAAAAGGTATGAAAGATCTCATTCATACACATAAGTGCCAAATAATATAACAAATATTAGTATAATCGAGAAATGAACAATGAGGATTATAATCACAAACCAAAATCATTCCATCCTAGCATTCCTCAATGAATTCCTAAAAATGGAATCATGGATTAATATAATTAATCACATTAACAGGCAATGATCTTATGACTCATCCCCCTTAGACCCAAGGCAGTGACTGATCTATATCAACATCCACTGGTGATAATTTAACCCACCAGGAACTAGAGAATAAGCTTTAATTAGAAAAAATACATATTATCTACAAGCACCTAAAACAAACAACCAATTTAATGGTGAAATGGTAGAATAAATTGCCTCTGGGTTCAGGAACACGGATGCAAATTAGATGCTAGTCTACATTGAACTGGAGGTCCTGGCAAAGTGCACTAGGAAAATAAAAAGAAATGCAGTGTACAAGTAATTAAAAGAAAGAAGACGCTGAAACCGGCAGATGATCACACTTGCGGTGTGAAATTGGAAAAAAAAATCTACAGATACATGATTAAAATGGAAAGCTACATTGGAAGAGGAGAAGGGTTACAAAGACAGTAAGTAATCAGTGCACTTTCCTGTACCTGAATACAATGTAGCAAACGGATGCCCAGAGGAAAATTCACAGGTTAAAAAGTATCTCTTGCACCAAGAGGCGAGAGATGGGGATGGAGTTGAGGGAAATGTCACCCCGGGCTCACCCGACGCGCCGAAAGCCACAAACCAGCGCAGGGGCGCTCGTCCCCCAGGACCCCAATGGCAGGGATGCCTTTCCTTTCTGGAAAGAGAGCAAAGGACGCTTTGGGAAGCCTATTCAATACGAGGGTGGTTGGCAGGCTCACCTCGACCGCCCAGAGCTCCCGATGCCGGGAGTTTGGGACGGGCCGCGGCCGCCGCTTTCAGAGGAAGGGCAGCGGACCGGGGGAGGGCCGGGGCACGGACACCAGCAGGGAGCAGCGGCCACTGTCCGAGCGGCCGCCCCTGAGCGGCCAAGCCAAAGGCCGATCTCTCCCTGTTCCCACAGACTGGAGCTGGGCCAGACTGAGGGCAGCAAGATGCGGAAAGAGAAGGAAATTTACCTTAAACCCGAAACGTCCCGCCAGGAGACAAGGCCGCTGGTGAGCGCATGCGCAGAAGAGCTTTCTGCTTCCGGTTTCTGTAACGCGCACAGCGTAAGGGGCGGGGCCTCGGGGGCTAGGAACTGAGGGTTAAGTGAGGCTACGGGCCAGGTAGCGGTCGCTTCCATCCTTGAAGTGGAGCGGAAATGCTACTTTCTTCCTGCCAGGGGACGCGGTTGGGCTCTAGGGCTGCATCAACGCAGAAACATGGGTTGGACGCAGCTGGAATGGGAACAGGTCAGTAGGGGAGGGAACCCTTGGTTAACTAGGCCTGGGGGCGGAGCGGGAGCTAAACCTGGCCTGGGGGCATAGCTTCGTTGAATATTCACTATAGGCTGAATTTAGGGCGGCAGGACCAAGTCGAGGGGTGGAACTTGTGAAAATTCCTGGAGAGCTAAGGTTGAAGAGTCTAGTGGCCGGTCTGAGCGGGCCAGGAGTGGGGTTAGGGTTGGGGCCTTCCATCCAGGATGCTCATCAATTGCACTTATGCCTACCTTTCTCCAAGTTGCTATACACAGGACACCATACTTAATATAATTCTAAGCCTAAACCTATGCATGAGAGCTCCCTTCTAAGTCCTTTCATTAGACCTTCAGTTTTCCCTTTCATTGTTTTATTGATTACTGCTTATGTAAGGGAAGGCAATTATTTATGCCATTTGCCTGGAAACCATGATGACTTCTGATAGTTGTCAGTTCGTTATTTTGGACTTTAAATATCAATAAAAGTTTCTGTTTTTATTTTTTTCTTGTTCTAAAGTTTAATATTTTTTTCTTGATCTAATGGTCATTTATTTTTCTTGTTTGTGCAGGGTCTCTCAAACTGTTTGCAAGTCAGAAAGAAATCATTCTGTTGGTCATTAATGATTATCAAGGTGAGACAGGGCAGGGACATGGGACAAGCATCATGATTGATTTTTGCTGCCTATGATGAAAAATGCTGAGATATAAATAGCATAGTAAGAACAGGAGGGACTCAATCCTAAGGCTAACACTCCATTTTAAAAACCAGGGAGTTAGAAGGTAAGATTCCTCATGTATTTTATGGTAATCAGCCGATAACTGACCTTATCTTAAGGCAGGGCGAGCAGTCCTAACTGATATGTTTCCAGTGCTTGCGGGGTATGGAGAAGAACAGTATCAATAGATTCCTTGTGTTAGGTTTATCTTACAGAATGTCTAGAGGACTGACTGTGGATGATGACATTATATCTCTCACTGGAGAGAGACATCTAGAGACTACATGTCAAGTCTACCCCCCAAGCCCCCTCCCATCCTTTGCCTCATTCTTGAAAGCCTTAAAAGAATCAATCCTAAGCCCTTGAGTGTGCCTCCTCTCTGAGGTTGCCTGCACTACCCTTTCTTCAAATGTGTACTTTTTGCCTTAACTAAAGCCTTCTCATTGTTCAACTTACTTCGATTGTCTGCACTGTTCCAGTGATAAATGTCTTTGTCATTTTGCTATTTCATTCAATTTTGTAGGCTTAAGCACAAGTCTTCACACACTCTTTCCTACTTCAGGCAAGTAGAGAGAGGCTGCTGAGATCTCTGCTTGGGCTTACAAGTTCCTGTCATCTGGGTGATCAGGACAGGACTGCAGCTGTGTTATCACGCTCTTTTTTTAGCTTGCCTGAAAATCTCCTTTCTTTGCTTTCGGGAAATTCTCAGAACATAATCTCACCCCATCCAGCACTCTGCAGCTCCTCCAAACCCTGGGGTGATAGGGGCTTAGTTCCCATGTCATGCAGATTCAAGCAGACACTGGACACGAGGTGACCCTGGCTTTAGGAGTTGGCAAGGGATTTATCCTATGCCAAGCAGGAGTTCAATGAACTTTCCTTTTCTCCCGCTGTTCTTCCTTGCTCTCTGCTTCCTGGATAGCTGCTGTCTTTCACTGCTACTCTCACTTGAATGAATTCCTTCCTTACCTACACTCGACTGACCCGTTGGAGAATTCTCTCCATCAGAATCAAGACCCCTCCCTTACCCCGGGTTGAGGTTTCACATAGTGCACAGGGAGAGACCTCCCCAGACACAGCTACCCAACAACAAAGGATCCTCAATAAGCTATTTGCTGTGGGCTGTGGCCTTTATCAAATTAATAAAGACCCTTCTAAAATCTGGCTTATGATGACATAAATTTTTGATCAATGTTAACAAATATTTATACATCTATTAGGTTGATTATATGATTTTGCGCCTTTATATCTGTAGAAAATATTTAATTTTATATGGCCCAGTGAGTCTATTTTTTTTTTAAATGGCTTCTGGGTTTTCTAGTTTGCTTTTACGTCTTTCGAAATTCTAGAGTATAAAAATACATTCCTAATTTTCCAAATTTTATTTTTATAATTTCTTAGTATTTACTCCTCCAGAAATATATTTTGGTATGTAATATAAAATACAGGTCTGTTCCATTAATTAGCCAGAGATGGGCTCTGTGTATTGGCCTCTAGCTTGTTTATATCTTCACTTCAGGTTGAGACCTGTGAACTCAAAACCCCAATGGTGCCAAACTCAGATTTTTACACATCCAATTATTTTTAAAATAGCCCAAACAAGCATATTTTTTAGCCATTTAGAGCCTGCCTGTTTTGTGTACCCCATGAAACCTCACTTAGCGTTTGTTGAACATTAATAAAATAGTGATTAAAAGACCCAAAGCTGATATGGCCATTCAGAGCTCTCTGACCCAGACTCCACAACGCTGCTAAGTAACCTCAGTATTGGAATGGACCACCTCAGTCAACCTCATGAAGTAAGGTGCTTGGGGAAGGAGATCAGCGGCCTGGCTGGATTCCCCAATGCCCCTACAAAATCTCATTGCCTTAATGGGTGACATTCAAAATAACATGGGAAAAATGGTCTGAAATTGTAGACTTGGCTAACATGTTCTATTCAGTAAAAGTTTCACAGGAGAGAGAGGCATTCCTCACCTATTGAGACAGGGACCCTGGGTATAGTTAGGGTAGGATGAGGGCCTCCGGAAAAAAACAAAGCAGGATATTTACAGCCAAAGCAATGTAACAATGTAAGTCCCTTATCAAAACTCTGTTCAGCATTATGCAAAGTCAAGGTCACACTAACTCTCTAGGGTAAAGATAACAGACTAGGAATGTAGACATCTTCAGTGAGATCAGCTAAAGGTCAAAAAGGCCAGAAGCAACTTGGCCTGGAATGTTTGAGTGTTCTGCAAGGGTATCTCAGCATAACCTGTGACTTCACTGTAAAGAGCCCTAGCAAACAGACAACCCCACCCACCTTGAGGGCAGTGCAGGTGGTACAAGTCCACACCCTAAGCCTTCAATTCCCAAAAATCCTCAACTGCCTATAAATCCCCTAGACAACGCACCACCCTGGGCTCTCTTGTCCCCTCCTAGCATGAGCCAGGAGCTCTTTCCTCTCACTTTATTTCTGAATCAAAGCCTCTGCCCTGACTCTCCTACCTTGGGTGTTTGCTAAATTCATTCTTTGACTCCACAAACAAGAACCCCAGCATCACTATCACCTGTTATTTGCTTCACTAAGGGTAAGTGTGGAACAAACTTTGACCTGCTCCCGATACCCAGGAAGCAGAGCTAATCATATCGGACTAGATAGAAAAGGCCATTTGGGCAGTACCCCAGAGACAATCAGATCCCTGTGGGAGGTCATGGCAGAGTTAACCTTTGACCAACTCAAGGCTAATCTCGAGAACTCTCCTACTCAGGGTCTCCCAAATTATGTTTTCTTTTTCTATCAAACCATCCTGAGAAGGATGGTCAAGCTCTTGCAATTTTAACTCAGAAACATAATGGAAATCACAGACCCATTGGGCATTATCACAGACCCACTGTCACATCCCAATAGCTAGCTAAAGAATTTCCCCCTTACTTGAGGACAGTATCCTCAGCTGCACAGTTAACAGAAGCTATCTCAGGTTTAAACTTAGGTTCTCCTATTCACATTCGGTATAGTGTCAGCAGCCCCAGAGAGTGATGCTGTAGCATTTGCTCTCTCTTGCCTCAACTGCATTCTGCGGCTCCCGTCACAGGTAAAGAGAATCACAGAGAGGAGGCTGAACTAGACCGAAAACACTGAATCACATACAGTGAACTTAACGCTGCTCTATAAAAAGTCAAGCTCAGCTCTGCAGTGACTATTCATGATCTCCCTGGGGAAAGTGCAGCAACAGTCATGCAATGAAGAGTTTGACGCATTCAAGGAGGCACCAACATTTGAGAGCAGTTGTTATTCACCTAAGACCACAATAGGTACAGGCTGTAAAGTAAGGCAAACCGTCGCGTTGGTCCTGGACCGCGGCCCCTTTTTCGGGGCCGGACTCTGGTAGCCACTTCCCAGGCCCCGCCCCTCATCGTGATACCGTAAGTGCGCCTGCGCGTTTGCGTATGCACGTGCGCGGGGCGTCGGCCATCTGAGCTACGCGCTGCAGCCTGCCGCTGACGTGAAGTATTTCTCTGCGGCGTCCGCCCTCGGTACGACCTCGCAGGAGGCGAGAGACCCCGACGAGGCGCGCGGCCTCAAAGGGGGCTCGCCTAGCGCACATCCCTATCCGCCGCAGCCTCCAGCACGTGCTCCGGGGTGCCGGCTCTTCATCCGCCGGGGTCGCGACGGCCGCGGCGCGAGAGTGAGCACTTGGTGGCGTTGCCTGTAAGACCGCGGGTGTCGGTTCGGAAGTCTGGTAAGTTCGATTCCGGTGGAGAGGAACCCTTGCGGGTTGTTGGGGAGCTTTGTGTCTGATACGAATAAGTGCATGAGCGAGTGACTTCATAGAAATAGTAAATTAACATCAGAGGCCTGGAAAGCCCCAACGCTTCGAAATGCGGGCGTCCCTGGGAAGGAAGCCGATGCAGGCCGCTTTCTGTTAGTAGCGGATGTTGGAATCAGATTTACCATAAATAAGTAGAGTTTCTGACCGGTGGATTTTTTCTCCTCCACGTATTCGTTTTGAAGTTCTTATATAAAGAAAATCTGTAGCGCCATATAAAACGAGCAGCCATGAATCTTGCATTTGATTTATTAATTGTTAAGATTTTTTTTGTCTGTGTGTGTATGGTTATAATGAACCGTTTAGTGGTTCATTGCAAGGCATTCACGTCACCCTTTAATTTTTTTATTTAATTGATGGGCGATATTGTATTGGTTTCAGGTGTATAGCATAGTGGTTGGACAATTAGAGGCACTAGGAAATGGTCACCCCTTAAGTGTAGCTACCATCTATCACCATATGGTTATTAAAATGATACCATATTCCCTTATTTCATCCCCATGACTTATTTTATAATTGGAAGTTTGTACCTCTTTATCCCTGTCCCCATACTTGCTAAATTTTCATTGGAAATTCTCGACCTGTTTTGCTTTTATAAAAAAGGAAATAAAATGAAGAATTCAGTTCCTCAGTGGCTTTAGACAGTTTCATGTGGCTACCAAGTTAGAAACTTGAAAATTCCCTAGGTGGTGCTGTGTATGGTGTATCCTATTAGGAGACACAAAATGTTTGTTAGAGATGAGAATTATTTAGTCAAGGTGTTTCTCTCTTGTATAGTCAGTTTTCTTTGTGGTGATCTGTGGATGATATTTGACATCTGTCCCCTAACAGCCGTTTACCTAATGGTTTTAGCGTCACTTCCTGATCTTAGCCTTGACCTGTTTTTACATTGAGGGCTTACAAAATGGTGTTTTTTCTAATTATGTCATTCCTTTCCATTTTTTAGCTGGAGGTCTAAAGAGGATATGGTGAAGAGGGGACAAAATTGGAATGTTTCAGTCTCACAGAATTTCAAACAGCCAATTTCTGATTTCTAGTCTCTGACCTTAAAGAATAAAGTTCCTCAGTGAATAAAAAAGCACTAGTAATTCTGTTATATTTGCTTAGGTGCTAACCCAAAAGGCAAGAGAGGCTCAGGAAAAAACAAAAGTTGATTTCTTTCATGGTTTAGGGAAAGGAGGCAAAGCATGCGACACACGGTCATATGGAAAAACAGGATGGTCAGGAGACTGCAGGGTCAGGAGCGAGGGGAAGGTTTAGGCTGCTGCCGTTATTGGAGTTGCCACAGGAAAGGCAAGGCAGGGCAGAGGAAACAGCCAGGAGTGGCTGGTTTGAGTAATTATGGCAGCTTTTGAAGGGCCCCCACCAGTAAGATGGCAAACTTCCGGCTTCTCTTCGGGGTCCTCGGTTCCCGCTGGTGCCACCTGAAGCCCAATCACCTCTTGCCCCCCTCCCAATCCCAGCACCTAGCCAACAGCCACCAGCCCCGTAGAAGTAACACCACAATCACCCTATGC